GCGTACGCTATTGTTTTGTGGGGTGGTTCCGTGCATGCGCGCAACGCTTTGCTTATGCAAAAAACAGCGATACGTGTGATTGCGAATGCAAAAGCTTGTGATCACTGCCGCCCGCTCTTCTCAAAGCTTAATATTTTGACCTTACAATATATACAATCACTCGCATACATGAGCTAAAAAACGATATGCCTAAGCACTGTGAACGCCACAATCACTACACCAGGGGATCTGAATCAATTGTCCAGGGCCATTCTAGGCTGCGCACATCCGAGTTAAATAAATTGTACATTAATTACTACAATGTTCTACCAACCGTTGTCAAGGATCTGCCATTCACTAAATTTTGTAATATAATAAAACAAGTTCTATTGGAGAACGCATTCTATACTGCAGATGAGTACATCCGTGTTGCTTCACGAGTGTCTCCATAATACTAACTGGGAATTTATTTATTTATTTATTTACTTATTTTTTTTTACCTAATTTTTGTTTCAATGTTTGGTGTTTGTCTATCTGATAATTATGTTTCTCTCTATGAATGTTATTAGAATGTGTTTGGTATTCAGTTAATTCATTTTCATTCACAGATGTGACTTGCCATTTGTTGTTCTTGTAATGTATTTAATGGCCAATAAAGTCTAAAGTCTAAAGTCTATTATTATTATTATTATTATTATTATTACTATTATTACTATTATTATTATTATTATTATTATTATTATTATTATTATTATTATTATTATTATTATTATTATTATTATTATTATTATTATTGGTGTTGATGTATCAAAACATCCTTACGGGCGCAAAAAAACAAAAATTTTCCGATGTTGTTAACTGGCCGTATCGCGTTACATCGCTGCATTGTAATTATATTTCGCGAATAAATATGTTTCATATGGTTTTAGCGGAAACCAAACATTACCGGTTTCCATATCACTGACCACGACGATTGATTTTCGCAGCAAAAACGCCTTCCTTATCTATTTTACTTAACCAACGTCAAAAATAACATTGGTGCTGGTAAAATTATATAATGAATTAAAAACGTTAATAATTTTCGATATTACGCGGCGTAAAAAAAAACGAGGCCATTCGATGGCAAATTGCGTTAGCCTATTCCGTGAACGCCATTAATTTTAACGCCGACGAGCGCTGTTTTATTCAGCCGTTCCCAAATATTCTGAGCGGTGTCATTAAACGAAGCGATGAGGTTTATTAATTACCCGCGTATCAATCAATCAACAGACGTAGAAATGTACACAACCAGGAAATTCGACGTTATTACACAAGAACCTTCGACTAAACAACAATATAATCGTTATGGACGTCGATTAAGGACTTGCGATCCATTTTCGCTCAGCTATAATGTTCGGCGATAGGATTTTACGATTTGTTTAAATGAAAAATCGTGACTTGACTACAAGCCCCTTGTCATTCTGCGTCGAATGAACTGCTATTTCAATGTTTTCTAAAAAGGTAATTCTTCTGGAAAAATTTGAAGACGTCAGATCGACATCTATCTAGATTCAAGTTGCGTTAGCGGTCCTCAAAAATCGGCGATTTCTAATGGGTGTTTTTTTTTCGATGTATAGAACTTTAAGTTGGCATTACTGTTCAAGATGGCGACCGATTTAACAGCTGTCAAGTGATTTATTCTCAGTTTGGTTTGGCAATTCATCATGAATAGACTCACGCCTGAACAACGCTTGCAAATAGTGTAATTTAATTTCGAAAATAATAGTTCTGTGCGGAATACGTATCACGCACTACGTCCATTTTATCGTCGACAAAATCGTCCATCAGAGCAGGTAATTCGATTAACCACGGAACGTTTTCGCACCACGTTTACTCTTATTGATAACTCGCATCCCCAGAGACGCCGTACGGTGCCTACAGATCAAGCTATTGCTGCTGTAGAGCGTAGCATTGAGGAAGACCCGAATGAGTCCATCCGCCATAGAGCACAGAAATTGGTTCTGTGTCCATCCACTTTATGGAAGATTTTGCGGAAGGATCTTGGTTTACGTGCTTACAAAATCCAACTCGTGCAAGAATTGAAGCCAAACGATTATCAAGTAAGGCATAGATTCGTCGACTGGGGCCAAAACGAGATTGCCGTTGTTCCCGATTTTCATAAGCCAATTTTGTTTAGCGATGATTCAATGGCTACGTCAACAAACAAAACTGCCTCATTTGGAGCGAAGTTAATCCTCAAGTGTATGTCGAAACACCGTTACATCCAGAAAAACTGACTGTCTGGTGCGCTTTATGGGCTGGTGCAATCATTGGTCTGTACTTCTTTAAAAACGATGATGGCTAGAGCGTTACAGTCAATGGCGATCGGTATAGAGCTATGATTACTAACTCTTTTATTCCTGAATTGAATAATCATGATGTCCAGGAGATATGATTTCAACAAGACCGCGCAACATGTCACACAGCTCGTTCCACAATCGATTTATTGAAAGACACGTTTGGGACCTGTGAATTGGCCTCCAAGATCTTGTGATTTAACACCGCTAGACTACTTTCTGTGGGGCTATGTAAAGTCATTGGTCTAGGCGGATAAGCCACAAACGCTTGACCATTTGGAAAACAACATTTGCCGATATACGGCCCCAAATGTTGGAAAAAGTAATCGAAAATTGGACGTCCAGATTGGACTACATCCGCGCCAGATGGCGGTCATATGCCAGAAATCATATTTAAAATGTAATGCCACAAGATTATCTTTCGGATAAATAAAATTCCTGTCAATCGAATAATCCATCATTGTTTTATTGCAACTTAAAGTCCTATACATCCAAAAAAAAAACACCCCTCACTATTAAAGATTCACTGGCCACATGAATAGACAGGAAAAACGTTTACGTACACCCAGAGTGGTCGTAACTTGAGTGTTACAGGAAAAAGCTATTTCTTAACCAGGAAAATCGAGTTACATGTCCAGGGCTCGATTTTTGAGAAACATTTAATGGTAAAAACCACATGGCGATATCCTCACTACGAACTAAGATATAGGCATATTTATGAAAATTTTGGATTCAGATTAAAGCTTCATTAGTAGCGCAGATTTTTTTACCATTCTCCGTTTCCTCATAAATGAATACCACGTTCTTATTTGATATAACTATCATAGTCGGCTATCGTCTTAAAACATCTCGTATCGAGCCCTTTTCAGCCATATAGATTTGTTGGTATCTGTGATGAAAAAAGGAGAAATGTGGGGTATTTTCTTGTTTATGTATTGGTAGGACGTGCAAAAAACGTTCAGATCGAAACTTTTAAAATCATTTAATAAACACCGTAACTTAAAGATTAGGTCAATTTAAAATAACTTTAGTGAAAAGCATAGCACCATTTAATATTTTAATTTTACTTTTAATGCTTTTTCCAATGCACTGAATGGCAACTACTTGCTAACTCTATACGATTGAAGGAAGCAAACGTTTCTCGAGTGGCATCCTCTAACTCTGCTTTGGTTTGAAAACTTCTTTCTTTAACTATTCAGGTTTTAATCTTTTAACTTTCCTCATAAAAAAATCTAGAGGACTTAGATCACACGATCTCGCAGGTCACAGAATGGGGCCTCTAGTTCCAATCTAACATTGTCCAAACCTTTCATTTAAAAGTTCACTTACAATTCGGGAAATCTACCTCGGAAATTTCCTACCCATATGTTGAATCCATAGCGATATTGCCGATGTTAAGACACTATAGCATGAGGATTTTGTGTGCTCCAGCGATAAGAATTGTATCTGTTAAATATTCCAGAAAAGTCAATTCTCGCTTCATTACTCCAAACAATAGACGATGAAAAATTAATGTTCTCATTGCATTTTCCGATAAACCAGGTGCGAATTTCTATTCTTCTGCCGGCACCCCTTCATGTAATTGGTGGACTGTTCTGATCCGATATGGTTTGAATATATATTTTTTAAAGTACTCAAAACTTTAGTTTTTCCAGCATTTGTTGAGTCAGCTAGTGCCTGTGAGGATATGCCTGGATTTTCCAACACATCTCCAATTATATTAAATTCCCGGATCTCCTGTTCTTTATTTAAGTGATTTTGATTTTGCCTTGGCTTTTTGAAACTTCCTTACTTAAATAATTGTTTAACGTCGGAAATATTCGCTTGTCTGGTTTGTGGCGCTGCATGTATTGAATAAAGTTGGTTGGCTGCCTTTGCGTTTTCGTTTGACAAAATGTAACCCTATCATAATTATGTGTGACAGGATTCAACATCAAATCAATACCATCAATTGCATATGGCTATAGCCAACTATGATTGCCATATAAAATGAGAAAATTTAAATTTAAAAAAAATCTGAGCGCTCCTTAAAAAATGACCTTATAACCGGAATCCAAAATTTTCCTAAATAAAAAAAATCATGGTCAATTTTTAAAAGGGCCGATAATTGAAAAACGCCCTATATTGTTCAGAAATGCTCTTAAAACACCCCAATTACAACCACCCTGTACGCGTACTCTTCACTTTAGCTCTACACCACGGGATCACTAGTAGAAGGTAGAATGGAGTAGAGTCGGCTGCTGCTTTCCTCAGATTTTATTTGTCCTTTCCAGCAAACTTCTCATTCATTCGTAAACCAAAAATATTACTCATCTGCCATTATTATGCTATAGTAGAAATAAACGATAGAATACTTCTTCGCTTATACTCCTTGGCCTCTGTCCAACTGACAATCCATCTCCATCCTGTTTTATTTACAGCGATTCCTCGAAGGTACTGGAACCGAGTTTATCATGGCAAGAAAGCCTTCAAAGTATCTCCACTAGGACTAAGCTTCTTATACATTCTTAATAACTTTGGTACATCCTGTATCAACCCGGAATTTTCTTCACCAACAGTGTATCAATCGATTAAATCTTAATCGCAACTTAACGCTCGCATTTGGTATTCAAAAGGCAGTTTTGTTTTCCAAGAATCAATCGTATCCCGTCACACGCCACACTTTAATAACCTTTTGTGTTTCAGACGAGCTTCTCGTGACATCGACGTCAGACAAGACGATGAGTTGCGTTAAAATCGAGCGAATTATTTTCTGAGCTAACTCCCGAGTCTCCGTTTCCCACGATGGTTCCCATGAGAAGCATAATATGGGTCATGCTGTTCACTTGCACGTTCGTCTTGTACATGCTGCGCACCAACTTGTCCATCATCATTTTGGCGATGGTAGAACCGTCGGCTGGCGTTTCGAACAGGACGTCCTCAGTGCCGGAATGCGTCGCACTACAGCAACGCAGCGTGAATTCTGAAGTCAGTCACGTTCACAGTACGCCGCACGTAAGCAGATCTCGATTTGAGCGACCATGATGATGAAAATACAGTGTTTTAGTATGGCGTGCGGTACGACTGGGACACCAAGATGCAGGGCATGATGCTGGGCGCTTACTTCTGGGGTTTCGTGGTCAATGGAATACCGGCGGGACCCTTATCGGAAAGGTTCGGCCCTAGAAAATGCGTGGCGGTCTCGTTCCTCGTGTCGACCTTTCTAACGCTGGTTTCCCCTCTGGCCGCCTCCATCAGAGCCGAGCTATTGATCGCATCGCGGTTTTTCATCGGATTGTTTGCCGTAAGTGATCGCTTTGGTTAGCTGGAGGAAATTAGTAGTTAAAAGTTTGCTAAGATGAACCAACTACCCTTTGGATTTTGGGATAACCGAACCGCAAACTTACATCAGTAGAGCCTACGGTGACGTCTCGTCGGCGCGTTTGTCTTTGAGGGCGTCAAAGCAAATTGGGGGACAACGGAACCCCATTAAACGTAGCTAAATTGCGGCCTCCTTTATCGCATTAAAGACGGGAATATCAAATGATCGATGCCGCGGCTTAATCGGATTTCTCTCGCCCTTTGATTGAAAAGGTCTGAATAATTATCAATTAAGATGTCGCTCGTTCGAGCCTGTCACCAACCCAAACAATGAGGCAGGTATTATTTACAGACGGGACTGTCATCCACGACCCCTTTTAAACTAAATTGTAATTGGAATGATCTGAAACTTAGCTAGATTGCAAAATGATTCTTTGGACCAGAAATAGAGATACATCAGCCAACAGACTGCAAGTGCCTATCGTAGCAATGCGACCAGCTATTTTTTATCAAAATCACAAAAGCAAGCATTATCTTAGTTGTTGAAATTTGCTTTGCTAGTAGCTAGCTACCATAAGGTTTGCAATTGAAGTCGTGCAATTTGCACAATGATAATCTCGTCCAGAAATCTGGGCGTATCTATCCAAAATCATGGTGCCTTTTAAGTCAAAATTGTACTGGTTCTGCGTTTGAGGTCAATTTGCAAAAAATATACTTTAGTGCAGAAATCGAGCTTATCGACGAACAGACAGCAAGCATCTAACCCAGCTATTCATTCTAATCTTTTTAATATCTAATTTACAACAAAGTAGTTCAAATAGCCCTTCAGTAGATTCTTAGATCAGTCAAGTCAAGGTATCTGATACATCGTTGAGCAAAAGACCAAACTTAAGACCTAATGTAAAGTGAATGTTCCAGGCGTTGGTGTATCCAGCTTGCCACGGCCTGATCTCAAAATGGGCACCTCCAGCGGAGAAAGGCAAGTTTGTCAGCGCTCTTTTAGGCGGCAATCTCGGTACGGTAATCACATGGCCGATGCTAGGCAGCGTAATCGAAAACATTAGCTGGGAATGGGCGTTCTACATTACCGGCATCGTCGTCCTGCTCTGGTCGTTCGCGTGGATCTTCCTCGTGTTCGACCACCCCGACAAGCACCCGTGGATCAGCCCCGAGGAGAAGGAGTATATCAACAAGAGTCATTCGGGAACCGTGTCCCACAAAAAGGTAAAATTCTCCAGGTATGGTCGCTCACGACGAGATATCAGTGAGGTTTTTGCAGAGGGCGCCTCCTTACAAGCAAATATCCGTCTCGGTGCCTGCGTGGGCGTTGGTGGTCGCCCAATTCGGAAACCTGTGGGGGTTATTTTTCCTGATGACTGCCGGCCCCATCTATCTCTCCACCGTTTTGGGATTCGATTTGGGCCGCACTGGGTTCCTGGCCGCTCTCCCATATTTGGCGCGCATGATTGCCGGATTCGGATTCGGGGCCATCGGTGATTTTTTGTTGAGAAGAGGTCTAATGTCCAAGACCAAAATCAGGAAATGGTTTACGGTGTTTTGTAAGTTTAGGAGTGATCGCAGGGGTGAGCGTTTGGTTTTGTGAACTTTGCTCGCAGCGCACATCGTACCTGGATTATTTCTTATCATCCAAACCACCGTGGGTTGTGAAGTTAATTGGGCTATAGCCCTCATCACCCTCTCGCTGGCATCGAACGGAGCCAGCACCATCACTAACCTCCAGAACGCGCAGGATTTGGCGCCCAACTTCGCAGGCAGCATGTACGCCATTGCCAACTGCATCGGTAGCACTACCGGCTTCATTTCACCTCTAGTGGTGGGACACCTAACTGCGGAACGGGTAAATGTCGTAGGGATACGAGAAAATAATAAAACATTATAAGTGGGACTGAAAATCAAAATTGGAGAATAATTTAAAATCGTATGAAAGGTAAAAATGGGGTTAGATTAATAGAAATAGAAATTTTTCTGTAAAAACATCAAGACGTGTTTAAAACATGAAGATTTAGTTCGAAAATAGATATTAGGATAAATCGTCAAAAAAAGTAAGAAATGACTCAGTCTAAATTCCCTAAAAAATAATTAAGAATGAACAATGCTAAGAAATGAATAGAAGTCATAAATGCAAATGCAAATGAGGAAAAAAAACTTTGGGTAGCACTGTTGCTGTCATTTTTTATCCCCACTGTAAAAATTATGAATAGATAACAACTGTAGAGGGGAGAAAAGTGAATTTAGCAGACTTGTTTTATTTATTAACAACTTCACATGTTATTGTTCCTACAAGAAAGACCAACAAAAATAGGTTTAGTAATCAAATACTAGGAAATCCACCAAACTGCTGCACAAAAGCCTTGTAGAGTCTAACAATAAATCCATCAGCTCTAGATGTTTGTTTAAGCGATAACTGTTCTAATGTCATTTAATCGTCACATCAACCTTTAATGGATTCTATGCGAACAAGAGGGATCTCCAGAGAGTATTAAACGGTACAGGTCTTAGTTTTCTAATAAGTTTACCTTACTTACTCGCAATTCCGAAATAATTTTAAATCATCGACAGAAAAAGTTTGATAACACAGGTCTACAGTGATTTTGTTGTTCGAAAGCTGTTTGTTTTTTGATGTATTTTTTGGGGCTTTTTTCCAAATATGTCTTAAAAATGTTATTTTATTATTATACATACCTATGACATGATATGTTTGTTTCACGTTAGGCATGATTTTTAAATGAACTGATTTTTATAAAATTAAATGTGATTTGACAACACTCGATAATATCAGATTTCTGTGCAAAGCAACAGAGTTGGCGTTGTAAACTGCTTACGCGCAGTTTGGTTCGTTGTTGCGTATTTCTAGTTTTCTAGAACTTATAAATATAGAAGGATATAACTTCTTTTGCGAAAAATGTATACCACGCTTATTTTGGTGTAAAAATTGGCGACCAAGACAAGTCCTGGGCTCCTCATACTGTTTGTTCCGTTTGCGTTGAAGCATCAAGAAACTAACAAAAAAGTGGGAAGAAATGTTTAAGGTTTGGTGTTACTATGGTATGGCGAGAGCCTAAGAATCACAGTGATGATTGGTATTTTTGTTCGTGTAATGTTCAAGGATTCAACAGAAAAAATATGAAACAAGTTGTGTATCCCAATCTTGACTCTGCTATTCGATCAGTTCCTCATGGACCAGATGTAATTGTTAGGGTTCAGACTTCGTGACAAGCATTTTCTGGCACTTAAAGCTTCTACCGGGATCGCGAAAAAGGGTTATGTCAATAGAAATACTAAAAGGATGTCGAACTTCCGTTGTCTTTATTTTTAACTTTAACTTTAACGTTGTTAAAAATAAAGACAATGGAAGTTGGACGTCCTTTTAGTATTTCTACTGAATCAGTTTTACCACCTTCAAGCAAAAGTTATGTCAATATTTCACTCAGGAAGGACCGCTAATGTATTGCAACAATATTCCTGACTTAGTAGTAGAATTAGGAAATGTGCCGTATATAAAAGAAGAATGACGCCTGTTTATTGACCAAGTAAGCGTAGTTTAGAAAGCGTTTTATCGCATTTATCTCTTTGGAAGGAAACAAATTACCAAGAACATTAGTAGGTGCTTTGTGGATGGTGTTTTTGTTGGGAAGCAGATAAGAACATTATGCAAAATCAAGGATTTTCAAAACACAATAACCAATGTCGAGAAAAACGCCTGGGTTTCCTTTAAAAAAGTAATTGATTAGTTTCTTAAGAACTCCTAAGGACGAAAACTAAGAAAGTATTGTTGAAAATATGTTACAACACTTTCATCATCTAGGTTCTATTATGAGTTTGAAAGTGCATTTCCTGTTTTCACACTTGAACTATTTTCCTGAAAATCTTGGAACAGTTAGCTAAGATTAGGGAGAGGGGTTTCACCAGGACATTAAGAAAATGGAACCGCGATTTCAAGACAGATGGACGATGATGGCGGACTATTGCTGATGTGTCGGTGTTCTTTGCATTTCGACTCATAAGTTTTCGTTTCAGAACGGCATATACGAATGGCAAATCATTTTCTACATCGGAGCTGCTGTCTACATCGCTTGCGGATTGTTTTTCATAGCGTTCGGCAGTGGGGAAGTCCAACCCTGGAATTACGAAGAAGAGACGGACGTGGGGATCAGCGTCGGGACCGTTCGGGGTACAGATAACAAGGCGTTCGACTCGTCGACCGTCGATTAGGATATAGTTGTGTAGATTTTTGACAATAAACTCCGTATTTTCGTATATATAATGGTTTTATTTCGAGGAAATGAATTGTCAGCTGGAAACTATGTTATTATAAAGTATTAACCCGAGATAAACAAAATAAGAGTAGCTTTAACCAAATTGTCAAAAATAAAGTGTATCGGATGGTTTAATAACAAATTCTGATGGCTACACTGGTATATATATATATATATATATATATATATATATATATATATATATATATATATATATATATATATATATATATATATATATATATATATAGCAGACAAAAAAACTTCTCAAAGCACGAACCAAGGAACAACAGGGAGGGGAGCAGGAGAAAACTCCAAGAAACAGCATTAATTCACCAAAAGTAAAAGTCTGAAATTTCTCATTTATCATCGCATATGACCTTCGAACAAGGAACGGGCTTTATAGAAGAATGAATACACACGAGTTAATGAGAGGTCGGAAATAACATTAAACGGATGGAGGCTAAAATCGCCGGCAAGGAACAACATTGGAAAACGCGCAAAACGCAATGAAGCTCAGCAATCATTCACCAAAATCACAAGTTTTAGCAAGTTCTCTTGAGATGTTAATAATATTTCAAGGTTTAAAACATATCATCTATATTTGTATATAAACTTCCAAGAAGTAATAACCTTTATAAAAGAAAATACATGACGCCTTCTTTAAATTTTAAGAATGTTTGAAGTCCAAAATATCTCATTTCATGAATATCTTCATCATTAAAGGAACGACCTTTACAGAAGGAACCAAGCGAATTGGTCCGATGACCTAATGACAAAGCTCTAAGCGCAGAAGGATTCGGAAGTTTCCAGGTGAACGGGATCAACACAACTCCGTCGACGAAGCTATGGCGATGTACACAGGCGTGTGCGCTCCAGCACCGCGTTTCCAACGAGCGCTCCTTCAGTAGTCGTGATTCCCTGGTCCAGCCGACACGTGTCGGTGCCGCGCATCGCTCTATCTCTTTCTCGCTTCAATTTTCACGTCTTCGCGCACAGAAAACTTTCGCCGGCTCCTTAGTTTTTCCTCGTTGTTTTCCTTTTCCCGCGGTACTTGACACGCAGTCCGCGTATCAGAAGCGAGCCAGTTTGTAGTTGCAGCACGCCGTTTCCCTTCACGCTCGCTCGGCAGCTTCGATTCACAGGTGAAAACTGAATTAATTTTTTTTTTCGTTTATGTTTGTCGATCAAGCTTCGAATTACCATCTCCAAAAATCTTGAAGTACTGCTTCAAAGCTATCGGCTTCAATTATTTTTACTATTATTTTTATTGTATGAAACAATTGATTGGAATAACTAAAAAATTAACCAAGAAAATGTAAATTTTGAATTTTACTTTTTTGCTAGATTTTTGAGGAATATTTTATAGTAAAAAAGGTACGTCAAAATCTTGACTACCAAACGACATATAAGGTGGTTGTCAATATTTAAAAATCTCTAAGTATTGCTTCATAGCTGACAGACTGGTTGTTGTTACTATTCCTTCCCTACAGTTAAATAGCAAAAAAGCATGACATTTTATGTAGGAACAACAAGAAAGATGATTAAATAGATCAAATGTTAAAACAATCACGAAAAACCTACGAGTTTTAATTTTTAACGCTCTTGCTCAATTTTTGAGAAATAATTTAAAAAAAGAAACGACGAGATATTTTTTATCACCTTACATTAAGCAGATTAAACAGATTAAAATGTATCAAAATGACGAAAAACATATTGTTTTAAACACGCAGATAGTTAACTTTATTTCAATACATCTCAAAATCTAATATTCGCAGCTTGTTTTAGAAGCATGATAGGTTTTTATTACATTGCGTTCTTGACATAAATCGAGGTTGTTTCTTAATTTTTCGAAAATATTACCATTTAAATATCAAACAGTTTTTGGGTTGCATATTTTTCATTGAAATTATTCAAATAGTCACACGGTAAGTTAAATTATTTTTTCTACTCCCGTCTGTAAAATACCTAATTACCCGCCGACCTAACATGCGGGAAGCGTCACTTTACCACGTCAGTTTAGTTTCCCATGATTCCGAGCCACTTCGGACATTTTCGGGATTTTACCGCACGGGTTTGGGAGCAATCGGATGTTTTCGGAGATATTTCCCACGCTTTATATTTTGAAGTTTGTCAGTTCAGACAGTCATGTCAGTGAATGTAATCGTGTAATTTTGCAAAAATGTGCCCAAAATCTAACGGTCGTAGAAAAAGTATAGTATTTAACTCACTCGTTTATTAAAAACTCGCTTCGCTGCGCTCCGCTCGTGTCAAATAAACTCGTGAGTCAAATGCCGTTTACCGCGCTTGTTGCGTAATATACTATTTGAAGTCTGTGATGTATTTAAATCACATTGAAAGCTGCCGTGTATGGCTGTCATGTTTCATGACAGGTACCAAAGACCTATATGAATGACGCAGACATTTTTTTAATGCTATAGACTTGGACTTCGCAGAAAATTTTTCAAAAACTACTAACCCGATGTTATAAAAATACATAAGAAAAACAGCAACTGTGTGTGCTTTAGCTCAGAAATTAAAAGTGGTAGCTAGTTAAGCAATTGAATAATTTTCTAAAAAGTACATAAAAAAAAACAATTTCCACCCTAAAGAAATTTTAATCATTATACCTTACCTTCCAAAATATTTATTGTTGTTTATTTAGATTAGTTTGATTAGTTAGAAATTGATTGATCTCAAGATGCAATTTTATTTACTAATTTTATTTTAAAAACTTCACAGTTCACAGTTATTTTATTTTATAAGCCCAGTATTTTCTAGTTTTAAGATTTAATGTGAATAATGTTTCGAATTTCTAAAAAAGAAGATGGATCCCCGGCGCAAATCCTATTGTGGGGGCTGGTCCAGAGAGCTTTCGTGCTATCGCGAAAATATCAAAGAGAGCTCTCGGCAACGTGCATGGCCTGCGCTTTTTGCTTTCTTTGTGGATTAAAGTCGTTTGCTCCAGACCATAGTAAAAATCAGCAAGATCAAGACTCCCCTATATCGAACGTTCATATCGATAACCTCCAATTACGAAATAGACTGCGGTCGACCCGTATAAACTCGAGTAAAATACGACCACAGAAAAAGTAATAACGGCGAAGGTATTGAAATTATGATACCCGGACTGAAGAAAAGGAGACAAAGGAAATATTTTAATAATGAAATTTTACTACGCTGGTTAGCCTCACGCGCGGGTAATAACAATTTTTCCAAATAAGCGTGGCACATATTCAACTTATAATACCATATTCAGGGGAGTTCTCTTTTATTATATCCTCAAACGAAACCACAAAAAAATTTAACAAGAAAATTATTGTCACATTTGTAGAAAATTGCACTTAAAAAATTCGACGAAGGAGGTTTCTAAAACGATCGTCGAAAAACCGCACCGCGGGGGCAACTCTCCCCCTCTCGAAAAGTTTTTCGATTACGTACCTAAAAAGCGTAAAAATAAAATGAAGTGTATATATATAGACGGTTCGTGCTCGTTGCACGGTCGGTAATTTTGGCGAATTTTTCTGCCTTTTTATTGTTGCTTAAACTTTTTCAAACTTTGTCTGACCCACTTGCTACAAATTAAGTTTCAAAACATTTTTTAGTATATGCCGAACCAAATCGTATCTCACGAACTAGCGAAAAAGTGGCTGTCGTGGGTTGCAAAGTTGTGGAATCAACATCTAATTTGAATTTGGTTATGTTCGGGATTGTACGCCGATAATTTTTGTGACAGTTTCGTTGCGTGAGGACCAAAAATTACGCAAAATAGCTCTCGAAATGTGTAAATTTGTAATTATCTACGTTTATATTCGAGTAATAGAATCTAATACATACTACATCAAAGCAGTACGAAAGGCAAATCCGGAAAAACTGTGGAAGAGTTATAATTCCTTCTTGATTACGTATTTTTTCAACTGCAAAAGCACCAAATTTTTCCATTCCATTCCAATGTAATTTGCGCATTCAACAACACACGCAGCAATTTGTAACGGTAAATCTGTGAAATGATTAATTATATTATTTCCGTACTAGTCTTTAAAAAATCATATATTGCAATTTCGATTTGCATAATTCATAATTTAGAAGTTAAAATTAATTAATATTAGTTTTTGGTAAATGCTTTTTGGTTTATTGCATAATCAAATAGTTTGATTCCCATAAAGCGAAATATTTTTACTAACCCAAAATTGTAGTCACCACAGCTTGACATAGTTCAACAACTGTACCATCCAATAAATGATTAATTTCACGCGTTTTTGGACGATATCGCCCTAAGGAATTGATTCCTAATGAGGTTATCATGGTTGTTACTCAACTAATACCAAGCGCACAAACCCCAAATTGATCGTCCTTTCTAATATGGCAATCCCGACGCTGGAAATCTACATTTTATTCCCCCAAAGGTCCTGTCGACTTCTCAACCGCCGCTTACAGTAACAAACCGGTTTCGATGGCGAATTTAAGGTCGAACGGATCCTCGCGAAATTGAAAACGTTGCCGTCGCAAAGGTCAATTTCGTAAAGTGCCCTTTAAGTAACTTTAAATCTTATTTCCTCGGTACCCATTAGCGTTCTTCCGTAGAGTAAACGTCGTTGAAACCGGCGCTGTTTGCTCGGGCAATCACGTTATTACTTAACCCCGCCGGATCGCGATCAGTGCCCGCATTGTACGGTTATAACTGGCGCAGTCGAGAGGACGGGACGTCGCATTACGAAAACTATCTTCCACGAAAGTCGATACGCAGCTCTAGATTTAATAACTCGCGCTATTATAAAAAGGATCATTAAAATTAATGACTAGGCGACGTAGGGAGTTTTCGATTGCTCGAGGATATTTTCGTTGTGCTTTAAATTAATTAATTTCTCGGAAAAGACGTTGTTAAAGCGGCGAGTCGTGACGCTTCCGATATCTGCTCGTTTGAGGTTCATTTGTGCTATTGAAAAACAAAAATTTACCAGCGAGTGTGGTAATTTCGTAAAAAAAAATCAATGTCGATAGCGAGTTGTAAAAACTGCGGCATTAAAAGCTTTCGGGATACGCTCAATAAAAATCGAAATTTACGAGGATTTTACGGGCCAGATTGCACGCCGGCGATCCCGTATTGTCCCGAAAGGTTCGCGAAATCTATAAAGCCCGGAGGCCGTTAAAAATCGCTATCAGCGAAATAACGTAATATAAAATATATGACAACGCCGCCAGCACTGAATAAAATATGTCACAGCAAAGTGGTATGTTTTCGGATCGATCGTACAACGTCCCCAAGAGTTTTCTTGATCGGACGGGAATATTGCTATAAAAGAATGGAAAACTGCGAGACGATCGCTTAAAGCAAGTGGATGGTGAGTGGCACATCGATTAACCAACATAAAGGACATCTTAACCTAAAAATAATGGAGTCGTAAGGCAAGAAAGGGTTCTATTAATGCAGACGCCACAAGATCGAGAAATTTAAATACTCGCTTCGATATTATGGTGTTAATGAAATGACATAACATAATTTAATTATTGAATCTCATGCTTGAGATGCAAACTCCAAAATAATCTATATTACGCAGCTTGGTATTCTAGAAAATTGCTCCATAAAACGCTAGATGCGAATGAGAAAAACAATGATTAAGATTTAATGAACTTGTATATTTCTAAATGACGTCAGTCTAATTTGATGGTTTCGTACTATTCAATTTCCTATAGGAAAGGACATTATCCCCCATTTATTTATTAATGTATGCGATTTCATTTCAATAACACCATGTATATTCCTGCAGTAGGCCTAAAATTACACAACTAGGCCTTCACACAATCACATACATCTGACGAAACCCCAGTTTTTATTGCCATCGCCATCGGCATTCCAGGCAGTTTCTCGACACCTCGACGTCATCAAATTGGATTCCCCGGGGGTGAAAACAGAAAGCAATACGCCAATTGTGGCCCGTTGGTATTTTCCCTGTTTCCGTGGTTTTCCGGGTCGGCGGGAATTTGTTTCGAAGCCTAATTTATGGGTTCACTAAGCAGATGGCGATCGTGTTCTGCAGAGTTGTGGAATGGGAAAGAATCGAAGCTTCAAATTTGATTACTACATGTACGATATAGTGGGGTCGGGCTTAAAGCCTTCCTGACAAATGAAATACGAGGCGGTTTT